TTATTATTAAGGGCTGTACAGAGAGGTTACCATTTCATAAGGCGGGCCGTCCATGTCACCCCTTCCTTCGCTTTCTTCCAGTTCCCCGCTCCAGTCCCAACCACAAGTTGCATAGTTCATTTTCCACGTAGTGTGGAATAGCATTCTCATTTCTGCACCCTTCTCCCACACAAGACAGAAAAAAGAACAAAACAAAAAACGCAAAAACAAACATCGCCACGACCACCCAAAATCCTTGTTTCCATTTCCTGTACTTCATTTCAATAAACAGTATTTTAAATGTTCAGAGGTGTTAATGTCTTTGGGTTCAGTTTCAGCTTTTTGCTGGTTAATTGGAGATTAGAGACTCTTGGATTTGTCTGCCCAGGATGGCTTTGAATTGGGATCCTCAGAGCTCAGCTTCCTGAGTGCTAGAATGATAAGCATGAGCCACTGGACCTGGCTTCAGATAAATAGTTTGACAAATTCAAATAAAAAAGAGTATTACAGCCTCACAATAAAATTGGAGGAATTTTCTCAAAGGTAAGCAGCTGGCTATTCTGCCTGAAAAAGATTGCATTAATTTTCCCACTTGTAAAAATTCCCAATCCAAGGACAGAAAATAGTTTGCTATGTCTGTTGTTCAGATACTCCAACTAGAAGGAAATTAAACAATTGTCATATGAAGAGGACAGTTCTCATTTCAGTACAAAATAGTAGACAATAGATTCATAGATGGGCTGCATAGAACTATTTTTAACCTTTATTAAATGAGCTAAAGAACATTCAGATTATGTTATATATACAAATTTTAAGTCACCAAAACTTTAATCCTATATGTGGATTTTTGAAATATCCAAGGCTAACTTTTAAAAAATACCATTCTATTGTATATATTTAACACAATTCAATTAAAACTGCTTTGTAGAAAGTTGTTTCTCATAGTATAAATTACTATTATGCTAGTTACCAAATGTTAGTTAACAAATAGTTGGAATTGCAAGTGATTTGAAATAGATCAGCTTCTATACACATTCTAAAATCATAAGTAGACACACAACATCTTCAATGTGACAATATTTAGTAGTATTTTGTTAGTAGTATTTACAATAGAAAACTTTTTATTGTTTATTGCTGTTTTCAGACAGTCTTGATATGTAACACAGGCTTGCATTGAAATCTGTATGTACCCCAGCTAGTCTTCAACCTGGGATTCTCCTGCCTTCTTCCTGAGTGCTGGGATTATAGCCGTGCACCACCACATGGAACAGAAAACTTGAGATTGGGGGGAGGGTTGTTGGGATAGATGGGAAGGTTGGGGAGATGTTGGAAAGGTAACAATGATCAGGATGGCTTATATACAAGCACAGACATCCTAATTGAAATTCCTTTATACAACTATTGGAGAGAAAAAAGAGAAAAAAATACAAATCAGCCAGGTGTCAGTGGGTTATCCCTAGAATCCTAGCTACTCAGAAGGCTGAGATCAGAGGACCATGGCTCATAGCCAGCCTGGGTAAAAAGGTCAGCAAAAAGCCAGGCTGGAGGTATGGCTCAAGTGATATAATGACAGCCTAGCAAGTGTGAGGCCTTGAGTTCAAATCCCAGTACCACATACATACACACCCCAAACAAAGAAACAAAAACAATCCAGACACACACAAAAACAAAAACAAATAATATCTGGGTATGGTGTCTCACACTCATTATCCCATAATTTGGGAAAGTGAGGCAGGGAGGATAGCAAATTTAAGTGTAGCTGAGTCCACATAGCAAGACATCGCCTCTAAAAACAACAACAACAAAAAAATCAAGCAAGCTGGGTGCTGGTGGCTCACGCCTGTAATCCTTAGCTACTCAGGAGGCTGAAATCTGAGGATCGAGATTCAAAGCCAGCCTGGGCAGGAAAGTCCGTGAAACTCTTATCTCCAATAAACCACCAGAAAACCGGAAGTGGCGCTGTAGCTCAAATGGTAGAGCGCTAGCCTTGAGCTGAATTGCTGAGGGGCAGCACTCAGGTCCAGAGTTCAAGCCCGGCGACTGGCCCCCCCCCAAAAAAAAAATCAAGCAAAATGAAACAAAAACAAACAAAAACCCCAAATTATTTATATGTCCGATGGGTAGGATTACTAATTCTCAGCTCTATTAAGCTAGGGTACAAATAAAAAGTTGACTAAGCCCACATCCCTCCTGCTGAAATATAAAATGTGAATAACTGGATTTATTTATAGAATTTCATTAAGTTGTCATTTATTGAAATCTTTTGCTGAAAGTAGAAAGTTACTAAATGTTCTTTGCTTAGATGAATATGTTAATATTTCACAGCCCATGTGTCATTTCTAACAGACTTCAATTAAAATATCAAAGAATGATTATATATTAGAAGCACACCTATTTTATTTTACTTTTTGTCGGTCGTGGGGCTTGAACTCTGGGCCTGGGAGCTGTCCCTCAGCTCTTCAGCTCAAGGGGAGCGCTCTACCACTTGAGCTACAGCGCCACTTCTGGTTTTCTGGTGTTTTATTGGAGATAAGAGTCTCACGGTCTCTCCTGCCCGGGCTGGCTTTGAACCGTGATCCTCAGATCTCAGCCTCCTGAGTAGCTAGGATTACAGGCATGAGCCACCAGCGCCTGGCTACCTATTTTATTTACATTAATTAAAACCTCTGAAAATTAGCTTCAAAATCTACTTTTGTTTATAAAATTTACCCTGTTTTATGGATATCTATAAACTGCTGAGGTGAGATTCACATTTGAAACAGGAAAAAGCTACAGCCTGAGGGTTAGACTTCCCTCACTCCCCCTCCCCGCCACAGGTGGCAGAATTGCTAGGTGATGAAGATCATTTTTTTCATGGTAAAATGAAAACATGGCTGTGTGTGAATATCTGTCTAGGGTTATATGAGTTTTCTCCTCTCACCAGTGAGATATGGGATGGTAGTAGTGGAGAGTGAAAGAGAAATGATAGTTTGAATGAATTCTTTATTTTTACAGGAAGAAGAACAAACAATTTGTTGCAGGCCTCATGCATGGGAATATTAGACACCAATTAATTATTAAATGAAAGCAAAAATAAGGGAAGACCCCACTAACCTCTAACTAATCAAGACTCTATGATTGTTAGAAGCATAATTGCAAGCAAATTGGGTGTTGGGGCCATGTGCTGCCTTCTTACTTTCTGTATCTCTGTGTGTCTGATTAGATTATATAGAGGCATGCATGTGTAATATATATATATACACACACACACACACACACACATATATATATATATATATATACATACATGCATACATACACACATACATTTAGGAGAGCTGGGACAGTTTGAGCAGCTTGGGAAAAAGAAGGCTTAAATAAATAACCCACTATGAAAGCTAAAATACATCTATCAGTAATGCTACCTTTTCTCTTCTTCCTTTTCCTTGTACCTGTGGTGTTATCCTATTAAACACACAAGACACATGCTCATCTGAAGAGGCACACTTGACAACAAGATGAAAAGCAGACCTTTGCAGTTTATACTTACACTAAGAATGTTAAATGACCAAATAATCCTACTTTTAAGAGAAAATCCTTGTATGAACAAGAAATTATTGCTTAGCTCCCCCAATTCATTAGTAAATGGATTCTCCAAAGAACAGAAAGATTCTTTGGAAGTTTTCATAGCCATGTTTATAAATACAATAGACTTTTAGAGACAGATACTGGGTGTCACTGCTTTCTTAATAACACCAGATGTTCTCAGTGCCAAAGACTTTCCGGAATGTGGTTTTGCAAAATTTGGCAGCACTCAGGTGAGCATGCCAATCAGGGAGCAGAAAAGAGTTAACAAAACCTTCTTCACTGAGTAGTAGACAGCTCTGAGCTGTTATTTTACATGGGTTCTTTGTTAGCACATTGCAAGTGTTTCAACCATTTTTATTCATTTTCAGATGCTCAGGACTAAAGGCATCTATTATATTATGATGTTCCAATATTTATAACTGTGTGGTGTTAAGCTTGACATCCACAAATATTCCCACACAAATATTGAGGTGCTGGCCTCATTCTTTCTCATTATAGACATAAAATTAAATTAACTGAAAGGTCATCTTAGTGCTCTTGTAAGTATTTATATACCTACCCTGATTAAGATACATTGAATACTTTAGAGCTGTCCAGGTTCTATCCTTACAGCCCATGTAACTACTCTGCATCCATAGTGGTTATGGATGCCAGTGCTGGGGAGGAATTATTTGAAGTGAACTATATTCAAACAGCTCTCCCAGGAGAAGTGATTTAGCTAGGCCAAAGAGCAAGGAATCATGATAGGCCAAAGGGCAAGGAATCATGATATCCCAAAGACAATCAGAGCAGGCAGTCAATTAAGGGTCATGCTGTTTCTCTACTATTTGCTATATATGGATTTTGTATGTAATTTTCTCTAGCAGTCTTTAAAAATAGAATCACTAATGTCTCATGAGACAAAGAAAGTAGAGTTTTGCTCTGGAATTAAGGGATAAACCTAGATGACCTTTATGTTTCCCTTCCTCCATCATTATAGCAACATGAAATAAAATGCCAGCAATGCTCAACAGTCCAGATACAATGTGGGAACATAATGTCACGCCCTACACAAACAGCAGTTAGAGAGATTCGATATTGCTTTCAGATCTTATGTGGTCAGCTGAGGTACGATGATGATCCATGTAAATCTTTTTCCTAAGTCAAAGTAAGTATAAGCCCACAAATTCTTAATATATATTGTGTAAGGAGGGGCTGCTCTGATGAAATTGAAAATGTCTCCTCCATATGTGCAGTTTCAGGCCTGATAACATTTAAAGAAAATGTTCTGAAAGATAAAGTTGGCATGTAAAAAGCACAGGGAAAGGACTTAGCAATGATCAGAGCAAAACAATTCTAGAAGGCATCTTAATTTTCACATGGCTCATTTGCATTTGAAACACTGAGAATTCCTATCTCCCTGTACAAAAATATGTACACATTAAATGACTTTGCACTTGAAAGAATGTTTTTTCCTAAATGTTTGGAAGATGATCAAATTTTAACGGGAGGACTTGTTTTCTTCCATCAGGTGTGGGGGAGATGTGGCTTCCTGGTATGAGAGGCAACAGTTGATTCTAATAGCAGAACAAGACAAAAATAAGAAAGTAAATTGAAGACAATTCCTATAGATACAATTTGAGTCAAAGGGGGTAAAACAAAATGATTCATATGGCACAAAGATGTCAAAAAGACATCAATTTTACAATTATGCTTTGTTACCTTTCCAAAAACTGTGATCCTCTGCTCCTTGAAAATTAGCGTCTAGCCGTTATTCTAGGATTCTCATGGATGTACTATTACTTGCCTCAACACATTCCTGAATATATAGTTAGCCAATGTTTAAAAGAAAGATCTCCACCAGCTTTGAATCCTTCCAGGAGACAAAATTACACCCTTATTCCCCGTTCCACTTTTTGGGGCCAGTACTAGGGCTTGAACTTATAGCCTCACACTCTCCTCTAGCTTTTTGGGTCAAGGATAGCATTCTACCACTTGAGTCACACATCCACTTCCAGATTTTTGGTGGTAAATTGGACATAAGAATCTCACAAACTTTTCTGCCTGCACTGACTTCAAACCTCAATCTCTGATCTCAGCTTCCTGAGTAATTATGATTGTAGAGGCATGAACTCCCAGCACCCAGCCTCCAACTTTTAAAAGCCAGTATATTGGTAGAACTGTAAAGGCTTCAAAAATCTCCTTCCTATCACTGTAGACATGGGTCTTAAGGAGGCTGGTAGCCATCACTTGGAGATCTAGAAGTGGGATCTAGGTAGAAATCTTAAGTTACAAAGTGAGACGGCCCTGAGTAGAAAGGGCTTTCTGTGATTTTCAGTTTCTTTTCTCACATGATAAAATTTCTAGGAATGTCTTCAGAAGATTAACACTTGAAAGGCATCATTGTCTTCCTCTTGGCTTGGTTCTTTGGGGATCTCGTTGGTGGAGAGCAGGCTGAATGTGGTTCCATGGTGGTGCGCCATGGGGCTCACCATGTGCAGGCGAGAAGGATGCAGTTTTCTAAGAACATGACCCAGTCCTGACATAATCTTGGTAAGTGGGATAACCAAGTAGTGCACGATGTACTACTTGCTCCTTTCATTGTCCCTGGGTCTGTGGAAGGCTTTGTGGGAAAATCCCTGATGGGTACTCATGTGGGATGGGGTGAGTTGGTGGGGTGGAGTGGTTCAGGCTAAAAAAAACAGTAACCCCACTCTAACTTTTCACAGTGAGCAGCACACCAGCCTCCTCAAGGCCAGTGTGAGGACAGATGTGATCTTGAGTAGAAAGTGAATCTGGAGGACCTGGGAACAGGACAGGGGCACATTGCCTCTCCCAGGCATGTGGCAGGGAATGGGAGAGATTTCTAAAGGACAATGACCTTTTATAGCAATTCAAAATTGGTTTCAGGTGCTACCTCAGTTTATTTAAACAACCCTAATCTTTTGGTTATTCAAGTGTACACTGCATTGGGTTTGGTTTGCAAGAGATTAACAGTGGAGGGTAATAAAAAAACTGGAAACAAAAAATTTAACATTTGGGGCTGGGAAGGTGGCTCAGTGGTAGAGCGCTTGCCTTGCATGCATGAGGCCCTGGGTTCGACTCCTCAGCACCACATAAGCAAAAAGAAAAAAGCCGGAAGTGGTGCTGTAGCTCAAGTGGTAGAGCACTAGCCTTGAGCTGAAGAGCTGAGGGACAGTGCCCAGGCCCAGAGTTCAGGCCCCATGACCGGACCCAAAAAAAAAAAAAATTTAACATTTCATTTTACTGATTAGTTTGATCTTTTTTTCCCAACAAATTTCTATTTTAACTACTAAAAGGTAAGAAAAAAAAAGCTTTTTTTATAGAAGGCATGCTGATGATCCAATTTTTGGTCAGATAAGTGATCAAAACCTAGTTTAAAAGTGGAGGATTAAGCAAGCATAAGAAGTGAAAACTGTCAATTCTTGAGGAATTAAAAATTACCATTTTATTAATATCTAATATTTGTGCATTTATTTATTTGAATAACATGTGTAAGTACCTTCTCTATGTCAGACATTGTCTTAGATGCTGGGTTTATAAGACAAGAAAAGAAAGCAAAAACAAAACAAATCCAAACAAACCTACTTTCATGGAGTTTGTATTTTAACCTCAAAGTATTCTAAAACTAAGTAAAGGACAATCACCCGAGAAACAGCAGAAATAATGCTGTTATAACAGGCACTGTTTTGTTCTGCAATATTGGCTCATTTTAAGACAGAATTTGGTTTCCAGATGTCTGGCTTCATTTCTTTATATATGGTAGAGCTTATTGTTGGCTTCTAGGAAAAAACTAAAAAAAGAAACTTAGCTGCCTACATGGGTGAAAAAAATGGAAGAACTGAATTTTCTTTCCCAGAAAGGGACTAGCATTCCTTTGCAATGGTGGCAAAACTCAGTCCTGTTGTAATTTGGGCTTTTTCCTTTTTTTTTTGCCTATAATCTAGTGGGCTGAACACAATCTGTGTATTTAAGAATTATACCACCATTTGATTTAAACACAAAGTAGGTGTGTGGTGAATTCCGTTAGTCTTAGCTGCAAGGGAGGCTGAGGTAGGAGCATCACTAGAGTCCAAGAGACCAGCCTGGGCTACACAGTGAAATCCCAATTCAAAAAAGGTAGAACACGGAACTGGTATTTCATGCCTGTAATCCTAGCTACTCAGAAGGCTGACAGTTAGAGGATTAAGGTTCAAAATTAGGTGGGGCAAAAAAGTCTATAGGACTCTACCTCCAGCAAAATGCCAGACTGGAGGTATGGCTCAAATAGTACAGCACCAGCCATGAGCACAGTGTGAGACCTGGAGGTCAAGCCCTGGTATCATCACTACAAAAAAAGTACAATTGAATAAGATAGTGCAACAATCTGGATGTTTTTTATAGTTCTATGTTTTATTACATCAATCACCAATATTTATTAAGATAAATACAACTAAACAAGAAGAAAAAAGTCTTGGTGTTCACCTTATTTCACTTAGAAAGGCAGGAAAAGAAAAAAAAGTATAGCACTTTAACTTTTGAACAGTGGTACCTGCTGACGCCTTCTGTTTCTTCCCTCGTTACGTGCTTTTCTTTTCATTTGATCCTCTTGGAAGGAATCAAAGTAGCTGCTTTCCAGAAGCTGTGCACAGGTTAGTCTGTCATCTGGATTCATCTTCAGACATCCCTTCAGAATAGGAGGGAAGCAAAATAGATATTAAGAGAATAACTATGTTGGATACAGTCCATGCTTGTAATCCTAGCTACCCAGGAGGCTGAGAGATCTGAGGCTCACAGTCCAAAGCCAGTCCAGGCAGAAAAGTTTGTGAGAGTAGCTGGAAGTAGAGTGGTGGCTCAAGTGTTAAGAGCTCCAACCTTAAATTAAAAAGCTAAAGGACAGCACCCTTGCCATGAATTCAAGTCCCAGGACTAGAAGAAAAAAGGAGGAGGATTATTTTGTTATTGTGCCCCATACTGAGATATTTACTTGATAAAAACTAATTACAGCTGCTCTTATTTTGCTGCCTCAGAGTTCCAGAGTAGATGATGCACATACACTGTCTCTGCAAGGGTCACATCAATGGCCTCTTTTAGTCACTGACCAAAGTCTTCCACATGGCTCACTGGGCTACAAGCATCAGAACCACCCAGAACCTGTTAGAAATGCATGTTCCCCATCCTATCCCACATCTGCCCAGTGGGAAGGGCTGGAATGGAGGCCCAGCCATTTGTGGTTCCCAAGCCCTGTGGGTGGTTCTGATAGTCACATGCTCAAGTCTAGGAACTACTGGTGTGTGGAGATGGCTAACAAAGTGTGAACCTTGGCAATGAGACAGAACGTAAAGTGGGGGAGAAACTGAGTTATTTTTTTCATGCAAGAGTCACTAAAGGCCGAAAGGAAAAGGTGGCATTATGACCCTTTGTTCTAAGTCTGCCTCTGAGAACAGGTTGTCAGCAGAAGGGGCATTGACTGTCCTCACACACAGTTTTTCTTCTTTCTGGTACTCTCACCACAGAATAAGGCTTTTCCCATCAGTAAAGATAGCTTACAATCTATAAAGAACTGGAGCAGCTTTGTAGTAAGTGGCACAGATGACTAGAAATTTCTTGTCTTTGTCCATAAGAGAGAAACCAGGCTCTGAACATGACCCACATTTTAAGGAATCCACGTGTCCAGATTGCTCTGCCTAATGGCATCTGCTCTTACCTCCAGCTGAGCCCAGATCTGAGATCTGAGGTTGAGGATGCTGCTGACCCTAAGCAGCATCTCCTGCCCTTGGGGCAGTATCTTAGTCCTGTTCAGCCAGAAACAACCCTGCTAGCATAATTTGCCCTTTGTTGTCTAAGGCCGACTCCAAAGTTCACCCCTTAATTAATGATCCATGCCATATATTAAGTGCAGCTGCTACTGGGAGGCAAAGTCCTCAGATTCCAATACTGTCAGATCTCTCACTAGGACAGCATGAGAGTTTTGAATACAAACTTTGTTATTCTCTTTTTTCCCTGGGAGAGGGGATGATGTTAGTCTTTTGTTTTTGTTTTCTTTTTTTGAGACGGAGTCTTGTCATGTAGCCAAAGCTGGTTTTGAACTCACTATGTAACACAGGCTGCCTCAAAATCTTGGTCCTCCTGCCTCAGCCTCCTGAGTGCTGGGAATGCAGGCATGTATCACCATGCCAGGTCCCCATGATCAGAACCCGGGTTCTGATGCCATTATTCCCCTTAGATGGCTCTTGTTAACATTGTTGATCTCTCCTCTAAATCTATTTTATTGTTTATTTTATTTTTTTATTGTGAAAATACCATACAGAGGAGTTACAATTACATGGGCAAGGTAATGAGCACATTTCTTATCAAGCATTGTTGCCTCCTCCTTTGTTTTCCCTTCCTATCCCTTTCCATCTCTGCTCCCCCCCTCTATTTTATTGTTGTATTTATTATTTTCTGGTACTGAGGCTTCAGAAAGCCTGGGACTTCGTACATGCTAAGCTAGCACTGAGTACTGTTGAGGTATTCTTCTTCCATATCTTGAAACTTAGTAGGTATTTTGAGTTCTGCTTTCAATAGAACTAGACAACTGGCTAGGTCCTCCTTGAAATTCTTTGCCTTCTTTGTGGCCTGACTTTCCTTCTTCTATTTGGCCAGCCTTTGATACTTTACTTTGTCTATAATGGCTCAATCCTCTTTTTCTGATCTGCTCTTAAGTTTCTATTGAGCTCATTGGTGTCCATGGCTTTGATTAAGAAGGTTTACTAGAATTTCCCACATGTGTATGTCTGTACCAGACTTTTCTAGTTAGAGATCTATTGTCTGGATCAGATTCCCATGTGGTCTCAGATTGACTTGCTTATCATCAGTCACTAAGAGGATGTTTAAGGACATCAAGCCCAAGTTCATACTCATGGGGGCTCTTCATTGTGATCTCAGGTGAGATACTGGGATCTGCAATTTTAAAAAGCTTCTAGGTCATTCTGATGATCTGGCTACCCTCGGAAACCACTGCTATTCATAGGACTTTCTTAGTTGTTTATCATAGATATCATCTCTGGTGTCCTCATTCCTATACCACCAAGGACTTTCTGCATCCATGATGGATGGAGAGATTGTACCTTCTAGTCTGGCTTCTGTTGGTCAGGCATGGATAGCATACTAAAATTTTTCTTTTTGTTTGCTTCTCTCTTAGGCTTCATGTATGGAATATTTCTGGTGTCTGCATGGCTCGGATTGTGTCTGGCCTTCTATTAATTATAGTGGCTATGTTAGAATGGTTGCTACTTAAACCACTGATGTTTCTTAGCTATAGTTCTTTTATAATTCCTTATCGTTTTTAATAATAACATCCTTTTTGGGCATTTTTTTGTCTCACTGTCCACATATTACTATAGCTTCAATCAATCATTACTTTGTTGTCTACAGTTATACTTAAATCTTAATTACCTTCATAAAATCCAAAACCACAGGATGGACATTTGAGAACTTTTCCTCAAGTGTTTCCTGAAAAACAGAATAAAGACTTTCAATGTTATATAACACACAAAGTGGGACTGGGAAGGTGGCTCAGTGGTAGAGCGCTTGCCTTGCATGCCTGAGGCCCTGGGTTCGATTCCTCAGCATCACATAAGCAAAAAGAAAAAAGCCGGAAGTGGCACTGTGGCTCAAGTGGTAGAGCGCTAGCCTTGAGCTGAAGAGCTGAGGGACAGTGCCCAGGCCCAGAGTTCAGGCCCCACGACCAGACCCAAAAAAATAAATAAATAAAACTTAGTCCCCAATTTAAACACACACACACACACATACAATGTATATTGTGCACATATTGACATTCAGAATACTTTGGAGAAATACCCTTTAGTATGTTAGATAACTCCTTTTAAAGTTTTTAAAAATCATGTTTTTACATAATATATACTACAGTGTAAAGGCTAGAAAGACATAAAACTGGAGTTTTCGGTTTGTTTTTTGTTTTTTGCCAGTCCTAGGGCTTGAACTCAGGGCCTGGGCACTGTCCCTGAGCTTCATTTGCTTGAGACTAGCACACTACCACCTGAGCCACAGTGCCATTTTTGGCATTTACCCTTTATGTGGTCTTGAGGAATTGAACCCATGCATGCTAGGAAAGCACTCTACCGCTAAGCTACATTCCCAGAGCCTTTTTTTTTTTTTTTAATTTCATGATGGCTCATAATTAACACTGACAATTCTAGGAGGGAAGCAGATAAAGAAGCTTCAAGTCTAATGCTGAAAAATGTCTCCATCTGAAATCTTACCACAGTGACTGTTTATAGAGATGCTTTGAGCATTCTTTAAGCATAGAAAATATGCTGAATTACATGTATTATAATAGAAATCAGTAGAACAACAAACATAAAATTTAGAATAGTAAGGAAGGAGGGAAGATGAGCAAACTTCAAAGATTAACAGGAACACTCCAGACTGCATACTCAGTGAGGCTGCTTTATCTTGCTCTATTTATTTTTTGGCCAGTCCTGGGGCTTGAACTCAGAGCCTGGGCACTGTCCTGAGCTTTTGTGTTCAATGCTAGTATTCTACCACTTTAAGCCACAGCTCCATTTCTGGCTTTCTGGTAGTTATTGGACACAAGAGTCTCATGGATATTCTTGCCTGGCTGGCTTTGAACACCAAATCTCAGTCTCCTGACTAGCTAGAATTACAGGCATGAGCCACTGGTGAAGGCTACCTCTTGTTCTTTAAGTATATTATATAAATATTGTTTTGAAACATTACGTTTTTCAGTTCAACCACATGATATTTGCTAAAGGTTTAAAAATATTAAAAAAATTCAGTATGTAAGTCAAAGTATCCCAGGAACTAACTGACTTAAAATGTACAGGGTGTCTAGAGGTAGTTAGAACCCACAGGCCATCAATTCCAATTCCTGCACTGCTGTGGCTTCAACACAGCCTGAGTGAGGACACATGGACATGCGCCTCTCCTGATAGTCCTTTCCTACCTTCCCTCACAGATTCAAGACCATATAGAGTTGTAAAGGTCTTTCCCTGAGCTTAGGTAACTCACACAGGAAACTGACGTCTACAGATGATCAGAGTCATGAGGCCTTTGATGCATCCTCAGATAAAAGCAAAGGCCACAGCAAGGGCTCCAGGTAGTCACTGATTTGGAATCTAATCAGTATACTGAGTGACCTTTTATGGAATGACTTTGATAGGGAAATAGGAGTTATGAAAAAAGAGGCTTTACTGATTTGAGCTTTGTTTCACAAACTGAAAAAAATTAGGAGAATGTACATCATCCAGAAAAAGACTTCTTTCTGTATGTACATGTAATGAGAAAATAATTATTTCAGCATGAGTTATTTACTGCTTTGAGTAAAAAAATCAAGATATTAAAGATACTTTTAAATTTAACATTACTCTTTGAACAGATAGAACAGGTAAACTTTTTTTTTTTTTTTGTCAGTTGTGGGGCTTGAACTCAGGGCCTAGGCACTGTCCATGAACCTCTTTGTACTCAAGATTAGTGCTCTACCAGTGGAGCCATAGTGTTACTTCTGGGTTTTGAGTGGTTAATTGGAGATAAGAGTCTTATGGGGACTTTTCTGCCTGGTGTTGACTTTGAACCCTGACCCTCAGATCTCAGGGCTTAAACTCTGGGCCTGGGTGCTGTCCCTTAGCTCTTCAGCTCAAGGCAAGTGCTTTACCATTTAAGTCACAATACCACTTCCGGTTTTCTGGTGGTTAATTGGACTTATGGACTTTCTTGCCCTGGCTAACTTTTAAAACAACTTCCTGCTGGGTGCCAGTGGCTCATGCCTATAATCCTAGCTAATCAAGAAGCTGAGATTTTAGGATCATGGTTCAAAGCCAGCCCAGGAAGGAAAGTCTGTGGGACTCTTTATCTTCAATTAAACACCAAAAAAAAAAAAAAGCCAGAAATAGAGCTATGGCTCAAGTGGTAGAGCACTAGCTGTGAGCACAAAAACTCAAGGACAACATCCAGGCCCAGAGTTCAGGCCCTGGAACCAGCAAACAAACAACCCCCAACACCAAAGAAAACCCTAACACTCCCTTCCTCCCAATTTCCTGGGTCATGTAAACTTTTTTTTTTTTTTTTTGAGACAAGGCCTCTTTATATTGCCCAGGGAGTCCTGAACACCTCAGTTAGTGATCTCTTCCTCCGTCTTCTGAGTTGCTGGGACTACAAGCATGCCCCACTGCAACTAGCTTATTCATTTTGAATATTTCTTTGATCTCTGACAGTATTTCATCATACTGAAAATATAAGGCAAAAGTACAAATATTAAAAAGGAAACAACAACCTCTAAAGAAAATAGCAAGACAATAAAATCCCAACTAGAGAAGTTTACCCTGTCTTCTGGTTCAGGTATACTGATGCCATGGAAAAACTGGTTACTTTTAAAGATAGATTGATGCCGTGGGATTAGTTTTCCTATAAAACACAAACAACATGGCTTATGATAAATTTGGTTTAAAAAATCAGTGTATATAAATGATTAGCTTCTACAACCCAGGTATAAAGAAAATATGGTCTTGTTCCTTTGGATCAGATGAACAGTAGCCCTGCAGAAGTCTGTCTACTCAGGTAGGGCCAATTCTACTCAACTCTCTATGCTACAGGTGGTTTGGTTTTCCATTCAGCCTCAGTCCAAAGACAAAGTAATCAAAAAAAAAATCTCACAACTGTATTGCTTTTCCTTATTTATTTTGCTGTTGGTCATGGGGCTTAAACTCTGGGCCTAGGATCTATTTGTGAGCTTTTGTGCTCAAGGCTAGCATTCTATCACTTGAGCCACAGTTCCATTTCCAGCTTTTTTTTTTTGGTGGTTAATTGGTTAATTGCAGATAGTCTCACGGACTTTCCTGCCTGAGCTGGCTTTGAACTGTGATCCTTAGATCTCAGCCTCCTGAGTAGCCAGATTACAGGTGTGAGCCACCAGCATCTAGCCTGTATTGCTATTTTTAGTCTTCACTGGATCATTGAAAAGAATGAGGCTGAGAGAGATCTAATAGCCTGCCTGAGGTCACATGGTAAGTTCCTTTTAGGACATCAATAAAATAAGCAACAAACACTAGTACAGCCTGCAGTTATACTCCAGCCCTTGATTTTGTGTTCCTGAATACCCCAGATATTAGAGGCAAATGGAGGGCTGGCCAGTAGCCAGGTGGCCAGGAAAGCCTGTGGGGAGGAATTCAGATATGAGGTCACCTTCTTTGTACCCAGGCTCCTAGAATGAAGCTGGGTTAACATTTGGGATCTATGCTCTTTGGCTCACGGAGGAGGAGGACAGGGGCCATTGAGGATGCTTACACACTGTGAGAGTTCACAAAACATGTCTGGAGGTCATGGCTTTACGTCAGTCATGGAGGCACCGTTAGACATAATATAATGTATAACATCCCTAACAAGTTTTTCTTCAAACTGAAAGAAATCATGTGTGCACAAGTAATTTAGGAGTATTTTGTGTGTGTGCTGGAGTTTGAACTCTGGGCCTTGTACTTCCTAGGTAGATGTTCTATCAGTCGATCCATGTCATTAGTAGCACTATATGAATGAAGAATGTTAGTATTTTAAGTTCTGGTCGCCATTCTCAATAAAGAACTAAAATCAGACTCTCAAACTCTAGAGCAGAATCTGCAAGCTAAGGACCTCAGGACAGATCTAGTGTACAACCTGAGACTTAACATGGATTAAAATAAATCAAAAGAAGATTGATATCTTGTCATATGTGAAAACTATAAAAAATTCATGAGAATATTTTGTGCTTTGAGTGCAGAGTTATGGGGATGCAATAGAGACCGAATAACCTGGATTCCTCAAATACTTGCCATATGGCTTTTATAAGTATCTAAAAATTATTTTATTAATTCATATTTTAAGTTATATTTTTATTATTACCATATGACTGTTTTGTGGGTTTTTTTTTTTTGGTGTGTGTTCTCCAGTCTTGGGGCTTGAACTCAAGACTGGGAACCTTCCCTGAACTTTCTTGCTGACAACTAGCACTCTACCACTTGAGCTATAGTTCTGGGTTTTTTGGTGGTTAATTGTAGATAAGAATCTCACAAACTTTCCTGTCTGGGTTGGCTTCAAATAGAGATCCTCAGATCTCAGCCTCCTGGGTAGGTTAGGATTACAGGCCTAAACCACTGGCACCTGTTTTACCATATGTTTTTTTTTAAATAGAATAACATTAGTGACCTTTGCTCTACAGTAAAGTGGGGGCATCTCTTTTACAGATAGCAGAAGTAGCATGTGATCAGATGTTACCTAGACGAAATCCTAGGCATCTGACTCCTGTCTGTCTCTATCTTATTCCATTGTGGAAACAAGCATATAGTTTAATTCCAAGCTTGGAGGGCATTTGAAAACTCACTGAGAGGAGCCCTGGCTCTATGTACTGACTGAAGCATTAGCTTTGGCTATAATCCAATTCCCCAAACCACCATCCTGAATAGCAATGACGCCCTTGTTTAAATTACAGTAGCATACTAATACTATTACTATTAAACTTTAGCTTAGAGTGTCAGTCATAAAATATAACTCATACCCAAAGTTCTGATTATCAGATAAAGTTGGTCCACATCTGATTTTCCAGGCCAGAGTGGTTGGCCTGTCAGGAGCTCTGCAAAAACACAACCGATAGCCCATATGTCGACTGAGGAGCCATACTTCGTATCTCCCACGAGGAGTTCAGGGGCTCGGTACCACCTGGTGGCAACGTAATCAGTGTAGGCATCTCCTGGAACTGCAAAAGGACACTCAGCAAATCAGAGGAGTCTTATTTTCCTATCATGTGACCTATAACCTATTTCCCAGAGCAGGTTAGACATTTAGGCGGTCTTCAGTAACTTGCGGAGGCTGTGATTTGCTAATTGTGTTAATGGTGTGAGGCATAAGTTGAGTGAGCAGTTACTCTGTGCACTGCAACAGTAAATTTGACTCTCAGGACCATTTTAGCTAGTTAATATCTATATCACTGAGCCAGGCGCAGGTGGCTCATGCCTGTAATCCTAGCTACTCAGGAGGCTGAGATCTGAGGATCACGGTTCAAAGCCAGCCAGGGCAGGAAAGTCTGTGAGACTCTTATCTCCAATAAACCACTAGAAAACCAGAAGTGGTGCTGTGGCTCAAGCAGTAGAGCGCTTGCCTTGAGCTGAAGAGCTGAGGGACAGAGCCCAAGCCCAGAGTTCAAGCCCCACGACTGGAAAAAAAATTAATATATATCTACATCACTGAAAACTAGGGGTAGGGTCTTGCTGAGAATGTCTGTACCAGACTACAAGTCTAAACCAACTGCTCTTTGTTTCCATATTTTTATCAACCTGGTGCTTCTCTGTTAAATTATGTCCTTCCCAGAAAGATAGGTTTGAAGTCTTATCTCTGGGTACCTGTAAATGTGGCCTTATCTGGAAACAGGGTCTTTGCAGATGTCATAGAGTTATAGAAGGTTACATTAGATTATAGTGGACTCTAAATTCAATAATTCAATGACTTATTTTTTTTTAATTTTTTAGTACTGGTGTTTGAGCTCAGAGTTTGAACTTATATAGGCAAGTGATTTATCACCTGAGTCACAAACCCCAACCCTTGAGTGGATTTTTTAGGGTAAAGATCCAACTTTATTTTCTTCTGCTCCCCTCATCCCTCTTAGTACTAAAGTTTGAACTCAGGCTCTTGTGCTCATTTGGTTGGCTTGCTCAGCTAGCACTCTACTACTTGAGCCATGCCTCCAGCCCTGCACTTTGTTGGTTATTTTGGAGAGAAAGTTGAGGATTTTTCTGCCTAGGCTAGCTTCAAACCCTGATCCTAGTGATCTCAGAGTCCTGAATAGCTAGGATTATGGGTGTGATTCTCCAGTAGTTAGTTGGAACTTAATTATTTCTGAAGTTAAGTCTGTTGATAGAGTCAATGTTAGTATTTTTTAGCACATAGTATTATAGACAATTTGTTTTTGCTTTAAAAAAAGATGAACAATGATCCCAGCAATAACCCAAACCAGTAGCTTTAACAGCTGAAACCAGTGAGTGAGCTCACATCCTGTGGAGAGTTTGGCCAATGAGAATGAGCTGGCATTGGTTGTACTACTGCTTTGTTTATTACATACCAGAAGCTTATTAAATATTGAATTTGCCACAATGAGTTCACCAGTCAGAGACTTGGGGATATATTCATTCAATCAGAATTTCTGAGATGAGTGACCCTAATTTTGAACTAAGACTCTTTATTCAGAGAAGGACTATGCTTGTCATAGGAAGGCTCAGCAGGAAAGAAGAATGCATATTCATAAAAAGTCAAATACATTTGTATTTTCAGCAGAAATGCCAACTTAAGAAGTCTTGTCAGCCCACGAAGGAAAATCCCCAGAAGGACTATTTATGAGATAATTTCCACACATTTTTCTATGTTCTTAATGTTTGCGATGACATCTTTTGTGTTTGTAAAAAATTATTTTTGTGACCAAACTGGGTATTTTTATGGTTAAAAAAAGACTTCCAGGGAAACCCCCAAACTTGACCTTGCATTTATAGGAAGTATCAGATAGTATCAGATGACTATTATGCACTTAATTTCCTAAGTTAAGGGTCATATGTATTGCTGTTATTTTTCCTATGCATTTCTTGTAGAGTTCAGATCATACTGTATACATCAGTTTTGTTTTCCTTTTTTAGTTAGCATGTCTTGAAAATTGCCAGTGCCACTAAAATGCAGACATCATTTCTAATGGCTGACTAATATTCTTGGACAGGAATGATCAAACACAGAGTTCACAGCGCCATAGTTTTCCAGTGTTTACCATTTCTCTTTTCAGCTCCATGAACAAGGACTTATTATCATTAAGATCCTATTGTTTTTTTTTTCACAACAAAACATAGCAACCCCTACAAGGCATTGTCAGGTCCCCTGTAGTTTGGTCCTGTTAGGATTCAAATTATGTGCATACTTGTATTATAAAAAAATATATGTTGCTAACACATGTTCTTGCTGCAAAATTCTAGTTTCTGGTATAAATAACTATTTGTTCCCCCCCCTTTTCCTTTGGCTCCTCCCTGCCTAGATTGTTTTACTTTTTCTTTTTTTCTTTTCTTTTTGTGCCAGTAATAGGGCTTGAACTCAGGCTTCAAGCTCTTTTTGTTGTTGTGGTGGTGGTGGGGCTTGAACTTGGGGCCTGGACACTGTCCCTGAGCTCTTTTTGCTCAAGACTAGAGCTCTACCACTTTTAAGTCACAGTGCCACTTGTGGTTTTCTGTTGATAAGGAAATAAGAGTCTTGGATTTTCCTGCCTGGGCCGGCTTTGAACCATGATCCTTAGTTCTTAGCATCCTGAGTAGCTAGGATAATGGGCATGAGCCACTAGTGCTTGAGCTCTTGCTTAGTGTTTTTGCTCAAGGCTGGTGCTCAACCACTTGAGCCTCGTCTCCATTTCAGCTTTTTGCTGGGCAATTGACGATAACAGTGTCATGAACTTTTCTGCTTGAGCTGGCTCTAAACCTTGGTTTTTCAGATCTCAGCTTTCTGAGTACCTAGCATTACAGGCATGAGCCTCCAGTGTTTGACTTGATTTACTTTTTCTTAGCACTATTTCTAAATCCTCTCTCAATTTTTAGTTGAGTCTGCTAGTCTTACCAGCTCTAAGAAGTTTGTTTTCAATCTCTCTAGCCTACATTAATGTCTTTCTCCAGGGAGATGTCTGCACCTTCATTTCAGTACTTTATTGCCAGCAATTTTGTGATTTTTTTTATTTTGTTTGCTTTCAATTATAAGTGCACTAAGAGCAGAAATGCATCTTACAATTCTTTCCCACCCTTGTGCAGCACATGAAGATGTCATCCAATAAATTCTAGTTGAATGGAGTAGAGATGAAGTGCCAGCTAATGTACTCACTAAAAGGCTAATGTGAGATTTTTCCTTTGGAATAACAACAATAAAACACTTGGCACACACTCAGTATCTCTATAGTCTTATAGTTTATAGAATTTATAGCCATCTGAATTGGATAAAGTAGGTTGGAAATGGTTACTTACTCAGAATCCGTGCAAACCCAAAGTCACAGATCTTGATTATTCCTTGTTTAGTTATTAGAATGTTTTCAGGTTTGACATCTCTGTGAATACACTGTAAGATAATATTTGATTATTTTCCTGTGCCATCAAAATGACAAAGAGTGTTAGCAATTAAACAATGGAATACCACCTATATAGATGTTTACATTTATCTATGTATGATAGAAAAAAATGTGCTGGGAGCAGGGGCTCACACCTGTAATCCTAGCTACTCAGGAGGCTGAGATCTGAGGATCATGGTTCAAAGCCAGCCCCGGCAGGAAAATCCATGAGTCTCTTATCTCCAATAAACCACTCAGAAAGCTGGAAGTGGTGCTGTGGCTCAAGTGGTAGAGTGCTTGGCTTGAGATGAAGAGCTGAGGGACAGTGCCCAGGCCCAGAGTTCAAGCCCATGACCGACAAAAAAAAAAAAGAAAGAGATGTTTTTTATTTGTCTAGAAGAACTTAAATTGGTCACTTTTTCATATATAAATCTTGCCATACAAAATAAAAAATCTAAATGTTATATTATTGAAGAAATTAATTTACAATAGTTGCATATGAAAACCCATTGTTTCTAAAGGAAATAGTATATAATCATTTCATTTACTTTTTCCTGGGCCTACGTGAACTCTAAGAGGTAAACCCTCTATGGGAGCTGACTGTGCCTCTTAGAACTGCCGCCACTCAGAAATCACAATTCAGGCTGAGCACTGCAGAGTTGAGAAACTGGAAAAACATTTACATGGTAATAAAACTTAAAATTCACTTACAATTTGAGTGATCATATTAGCTATCACCCAAATCTGTTAGGTATGAAAAAGGCTCTCTTCATAATTCTGCAAGTCACAAGTCAGAAGTGTCCTGGGTGAGTGGGGAGGCAGAGTTGCCCATGTATCAGATTCCAGTTTCCTCCATGACCCGCTGACCGGGAATGGAGAATGGCTCTCATGAGAGGCCCACAAGGTGCTGCTGGAGGTCCTCCCAGGAGGGCAGCATGGCTCTATTACCTGCTCTTGTGTGGCCAAAGTGCCATTAAATCTTTTATTAGATATAGTAACCTCACAATTTGCTACATCACCACAGTGACCCTAAAGGAAGCCAGAGCTTCTGTGGAACACCAGAAAGTTCTGTTGGGGGAGAGAAAGCAGACTGACTGAGCTCACGCATCGTGATTCCAGAAGTGGCTTTCCATGTGGCGGAGGTGCTGTGGGAAAACAGCTTGAGCCTGCTCTTCAGAACTTTCTTTTTCAGTTCATCCATTCCACAAAAGAAAACAGTGAGTGATATTGACAGTCTACAACTTGGCACTCATAGAGCACCCTGGACTTTTAAAGCACTTGTACACAAATTGTTTCATCCTTGCAATAGTTCTGGGGTTGTGATGGCCACTGAGTCTCTGGATTAAGTGTCACAATAATCATCTTGGTCTGCTTCACTTGTCTGCCATGCCTTAAGTCTCTTTAGGTAATCATGTCAAACTGACACTTTAGAAAGAATTATCTTTGTTTCCAGAAAGAAAGGCTAAGAAGAAAAACTTAAACCCTAAATTCATTTTAGGTCACAAAAATGGCACTAAAGCTAATTTTTACCAAGTCTCAATTACTTGCAACTGTTTTTTTTTTTATGGCCAGAAATTAGGCTTCTTAAAATTTTTTAGGACTTTTAAAAGTTGTTAAGTCCTTAGATATGTCAATAATGCATTGATATTAATATTGATACATTGTAGGGCTATAAGACAAATGGGTTTTGATATACCTGTTTAAGCAATATGTTTACAAAACTTAACACTCCAGATCAGAAATACTTGTACTTGGTGATTTGATTAGAAAAGATCAGAAGTGGTGCTGTGGCTCAAGCGGTAGAGGGCTCGCCTTGAGCTGAAGAGTGCAGGGACAGTGTCCAAGCCCATAGTGCAAGCCCCACGACCAACAACAACAACAACAACAACGAAAAGATCTTGTCACTCAAATGAGTTTTTATAAAATGGTAGATTATCTAATCTATTTATGGCATCACAAAGTAAGTGGACTTACATTGATATTTGTCTTTTGGCCTATTTGAATATATTCACCTCTAAAGCAAATCATGTGACAGTCATAGCACTTACTTTTCAACCAAAAATATAAAGGCGGGGCTGGGAAATTGGCTCAGTGGTAGAGTGCTTCTCTGGCATGCATGAGGCCCTGGATTTGATTCCTCAGCACCACATAAGCAGAAAAAAGCCAGAAGTGGCACTGTGGCTCAAGTGGTAGAGCACTAGCCTTGAGCTGAAGAGCTGAAGGACAACGCCCAGGCCCAGAGTTCAGCCCCGACGACCAACAAAAAAACAAACAAACAAAAGAAAAGAAAAATATAAAGGCAAATGAAATATTGATATGTTTCAAAGAAATAGAAAAAAATTCATTTAGTTGTTGGTAGGGAAAGCTACTAATAAAGTCAGAGAACTGAAGAAAAAAAGGGGATAAAAATAATTGGGACAGGCCCAGGTTGCTGTAGCTCATGCCTGTAATCCTAATTATCCAGGATTGAGGATTGCAGTTTGAAGACAGCTTGGGCAGGAAAGTCCATGAGACTCTTCTAATTAACACCAAAAAGCCAGACATAGATCTGTAGCTCAAGTGGTAGAGAGCCAAGTGAGAGTGAAAGGCCCTCAGTTCAAGCCCCAGCACCATCACTACCACCACCACCACCAACAACAAAAAGGGAAAAAACTGGACACAAGATAGCACATATGCTGGTGCTGGTGACTTCGTGCCTAAAATCCTAGACACACAGGAGGCTAGGATCTGAGGATCACAGTTCAAAGCCAACCCAGGCAGGAAAGACTCACATCCCTACAATAAACAACTCAGAAAAAGCCAGAAAAGGTGCTGTGGCTCAAGTGGTAGAGTGCTAGCTTTGAGCACAAAGGCTCTGGAACAGCACCCAGACCCTGAGTTCAAGCTCCAGGACCAGAAAAAAAATCATACAGAGGACAGAATTGTGGATACATTATTCCTCTTCCCCATTGTCCTGTTGTTAAGCTGCTCAAGCTCTTTAGTCGGCTCTTGTAAAATGGCTCCACAATAAGGCTGTTTTTCACCAAAGAACAAGAAGCATACAAGTGTCTTTAACAGGAGACTTTTAATAAACTTGGGTTTTATAGCAAACATTGCTCAGGTTTGATTATTGTTGGTTCATAAGCTGGCAAGAAGAGATCTATTCATGCTATTTTTACTGTTATAGAGGTGATGTACAGCGGGATCATAGTTACATGAATCAGGTATTGAGTTGTTTCCTTTTTTACAGTATCTTCTGTTCCCTCACTCTCTCCCAGGCCTTCTCCCCCATCTCTACCTACAAGTTGTATATTTCACTTCCATCAGTGTCCATTGAGCCCCACGGCTGCACTTTTTCACCCTCTTTCCCTCCAGTTCTGTGCTCTCCCCGCTCCTGAAGATATACATTTGAATACACTATATATAAAGACAGAATCCTCAAAAAATAAAAATTAAAAAGAGATCTCATTTCCATATCTTGGAGTTCACTTTGATATTTTTCGATATAATTTTATATAACTATGAAGAGGCACGAAGGGATTGTACCTTTGTGTTTCTCTCCTAAGAACATACTCTTTTGGTCTCACTGCATCTAGAATCTTGCATGTAGAATCTTGTATATCTCAGTGCATTTTAGATCTAACTTATGAATATCAGAGAAAACATGCACTGTTTTGTCTCTCTAAGCTTGGCTCACTTCACTTAATATGATTTGTTCTAGTTCCATCCATTTCCCTGCAAGTGACATTTTATTCTAATGGCTGGGTAAATGCCATTGTGTAAAAGTACCATATTATTTGTCTCCACTCATCTATTGTGGGGCATCTGGGCTGTCATCTATTGTGGGGCATCTGGGCTGTCATCTATTGTGGGGCATCTGGGCTGTCATCTATTGTGGGGCATCTGGGCTGTTTTCATATCTTGCTATCGTGAATAGTGTGGTAATGAACATGGATGTGCAGGTGTCTTCACCATATCCGTTCAGGGTAGATGTCTAGGAATGGTCTGGCAGGGTTTTGGGGAAAGTCTATGTTTAGTTTTATTGAGGAATCTCCTGACTGCTATCCAAAGTGGTGGTACTAGTTTACATTCCGACCAGCAGTGCAGTAGGGTTCCTTTTCCCCCACATCCCCACCAATATTTGTTGTTCAAATTCATGATGTTGGCCAATCTTTCTAGGGTAAGATGGACTCTCAGAGTTGATTTGATTTGCATTTATGACCAGGCATGATGAGCATTTTCTAATGTGTTTCTTTGCCATTCTTACCTTTTCTTCTGAGAAGTCTCTCCTTAGCTCACATGCCATTTAGTGATTAGGCTTGGGAAATTAGGCCTTTTTCTGTTTTATTGCTGGTAAAGATCTTCTCCAAGTCTGTTGGCTATCTTTCTAGTTTAGTAACTATGTCAGCTGTGCAGAAACTTTATTTTGATGTAGTCCCACCTGTCAAGTTTCTCTCCTATCTGTTGTGCCCTGGCCACTTTTCAAGAAGTTTCTACCTGTAAGTTCTAATGTTTCTTCCATTTTCTTTTGCAGTTGTTTTAAAGTTTTTGGTTTGAAGTTGAGGTCTTTGATCCACTTTGAATTGACATTAATGCATGGTGACAAACAGGGATCTACTTTTAGTTTTCTGCATATAGATACCCAGTTTTCCCAACACCAATTATTGAAAAGGCTGTTTTTTTCCCCCAGTCTTTGGCTCACTTATCATATATCAGATAACTGTATGTGTCTGGGCCTTCTAATTCTATTTATGGGTCTTCTAATTTGTTCCATTGATCGTCGGGTCTATTTTTGTGCCAATACCAAGCTGTTTTTGTTACAGCTCTGTAGTAGAGTTTGAGGTATGGTATTGTGATACTACCTAACTTGTGTTTTGTTTTTTTTTTGCCTAGGATTGCTTCAGCTATTCTAGGTCTTTTGTTGTTCCATGTGAATTTTTGGATTTTTTTTTATCTTGGTAAAGAATGTACTTGGGATTTTGAAGGGCATTGTCATGAATTTGTAGATCATTTTTGGCAGTAGGGCCATTTT